CCTTGTATAATGTGTATGCCAATGAGATCACCTCCTATCAGAGGGGACTTGTAACATTACTAGTAAAAAGAGGATAATATGAGGACTGCATGGTTAGTGAGGTGGCTGGGCAACTGGCTGCCGTGCAACTCTTTGTGTGATCCACAAATTGTTGTTCTGGGTCTGGGTGTCATGTGTATGTAAAATTGTATTATATGTTTGTAAACACACCCACGACACAGAACCCGAGCGCACGGCGCGTCGTGTTCCGCGCGCACCTTAAAGAGTCATCAGACCACAACGGATGGGGCCCAATAGGGCTGATGCCGATACGGAGCCGCGGAGGACTGACCGGGTTGCCGAGGCTCCGGCTCGAAGGGAATGAGTAGGAATGGGGTGGTTTTTAGTCAGTAAGAGTCTGACACTTCCTACCGCCTCACCCAGACGGGAGATGTAATTCGATAATTTTCCCCCTTAAACAAAAAAATAACCCCACGACACCGGAAAAAATCCTAGTGTAAGGCAACGTTTAAAAAAAAAGGACGACGTGACGACAATGTTATTGAGACAAGTGAATTTATTTCTGCAAAGTGAACGATGAGGTCGACATTTTCTGACTGCTCTAAGAGAAATGCCGAAACAAACTCAGAGGTCCGTCTCTTTCATCCATGTTTATATCTACGGAAGTAAATAAACAAAACACTATCTAGATATTTTTATTGCAAACGAGCATATATCGCAGAGATAGTAGCCATACCACTTTTTTAACACTATTAAATATTTATACTGTTACATGTATTCTAATAGAGAAATTCGATGATGCAAATTTTTTCGCATAATATCTGCTATATGTATGAATATTTGTATCAAAGTTGAATTATTAATACTGGTTTTATGATGTAACTGAATGTTATTAATTTTCGAAAAGGCTGTTGCCTACGATTTCTATTTTTGTTTATGAAATAAATAACTATAACTTGCTAATTCACTTTTGTTTTGATGGCGATAAACATCGTAGTATGAGAATATAGAATGCATGTTACTTATTTTAATATGTTTCTCGTTTTACAGATTTAATTTAAAAATAAGTGTGAAAGACTAAAGTGGTATTGAACTTTGAATATAAAGATGAATGGTTGAACAAAAAAGCATTTTAAACAAGACTGATTAATATACATCTTTAAAATCTTTATTCAGAACTGTAAATAGACACAGATACAAAAATATTCCTTGGTTAAGTAAAATAGATCTCACAGGGTTAATAGGTGCCTGTACCTACTAGGATAATACTGTGTCACAGGTGAGATTATAATTTGTACCTGTTAAATCGAATCTCAACATAATCACTTCTATTAAATCTCTGTTGTCATAATAGAATATAAGTGCATTCCTGTATTGTTTATGATTATTAAAAAAAAGAATATATTTTTTTGTCTTGTTTCCGGATCTCAACTACGTTGTTTCATTATAGTACCATATAATTCGCATATTAAAACAATACTTCACTTTCATCGATTAAACTGAAGGTTAATTAATTAAAATAATTTGGCAGACGTTGCTTTTATGTTAAAATATATTTAGCATAGGCTGTCAAGCTTTGTAATTACTAATTTTATTCTAAACGCGGCACATCTAACAACGTCGTAAACAACGAGTAAAATTGAATTTAATTAAATTTTGAAGCTTTTTGCGAACATTTACAACGGAATATCCTTGAGTAATTGCATTTGATGGTAGCAGTATTGCAAGATGTTTAAATACTTTTTTAAACAAGGCTTTTTGTTAACGCTGTTGAATCAAATGCCCTGGGAATTACCTATATAATAATACACGTATTCTGTGTCAGCAACATCTATTGTCGATTGCTGATTTACACCCTCAAACAATAAGTCTGATATGTAGAGTAGACCCATGCTTCAAAGTCTAAGCATTTAATTCAATTAAACCATAATTTGGTACTTTTGAAACGTCAACAAAAACAAAATAAATAATCGACTATCACTCTGTCCGTCAGTGAAGCTAGGTGCTCATTTCAAAATGTATATTCGAATGGAGAAGAACAAGCAAAAATTTCCTTACTCTTTTAAAAAACAATATGTTTGATAAATTATCCAATATTGTACGTATATGTGAGAACAATGCTAAGACACGCTTGGCGCATTATATAATTACAAAACTTACTAAAATAAAAAACAGAACCAGTTCAGTATTGAACTGTCATAGTCTGTTGTTGATGATGCGGCCCATATACCAGAAGTATTATGTTTGGAAAATATTCCATAATAATCTGTTGTATGATAGTCTTGGTTATTACTAGCGACCCGCCTCGGCTTCGCACGGGTGAAATATGCATGTATTATACATGTAAACCTTCCTTAAGAATCACTACTATATATTAAAAAAACCGCATCAAAATCCGTTGCGTAGTTTTAAAGATCTCAGCATACATAGGGACAGACAGACGCCGGATAGTGACTTTGTTTTATACTATGTATATGATTCTAGCTAAACTTCACCATACATTATTATGTATTTTGTTTAGTATAATCTGGAAGGCGACCCTCTTATGAAACATTATGTGTAACTTTACAAGACTAATGTTATGATGCCCTACATAAAATTAAATTATTAAGCCTAACTTGAGCACTTGGCCTAGTCCATGACTAAGTTCATTGACTTTTGAAACCTATTTTATCACTTTGGATATTACGAAGGTTGGTCAGTAATTTTACAATGTCAATAGTACGAAAATGATTCGTCTCCAGAGCTGTTTAAGGTAATGAAGACCTTATGTCGTGTACCCTATGGCAGGTTATCATGGTTTTTTAATTTATAAAGATGACAGGAAATACAGGACCATTATAGATTATTAAAATATCTTCCTTATTACTTACGGTCAAGGTTGTTAATCCTATTACCCATTATCTTTTGGGTGACAGACAATTTATTAAAATTACTTTTCTATTGTTTTTTTATAGTTTCGCTTTGACATTGTTATACTATCAGGAAAATATATTAAATATTTATCTATTATATAACCTGAACCTCTTATTTGAATACAATAAATATAACTATATTTATCGGGGAACAGTATCGTATAAAATATAAAAGAAAAGATGATACAATGGACTTACCGAAAATTCTTTAAGAAATTCTTGAGATGTAGATAATTTGCATGTATTAGGTTCGAGTGGATTGGGTCATAATATCGAGAAGTGTCTGTTTTGACCTACTGAACTTCTAGGAAGTTATCCCTAAAGTAGGTACTAAAGTTATGATAATCTTAATAGTAGCTAAGATCTAGGGTGGGCATAATGGGAATAATATTCCCGATCTACTTACTGTACCTGCTTTCCATCAAGCAAAACGTTACTTCATTGTTACCTTAGCGCTATAAAAGAAATCTAGATAAAAAAGTGACAATTTCAAAATAAAAAAGACATCGATTACCGTACCACTGACAACCAAAATGGCGGCAATGAGATAAAGCGCGCCAATGTAAGGATTACATTACGCAAAGGAACGAGGATGACGCAGCCTGACATAAAAACTTTTTAAAGTAATAAAATATACTTGCGTAACTGTAATAATGTTTTATACTCAACTCTTGAAGTTTTCTAAAAGGGCCATCGTTTGAGGAAATCTTCAGGAAACTAAACTTCAGAAGTTGACTATGGTAGGGTCACACGTGGCCTCTCATTACTCGAAGGACAGTTGGGGAAACAGCTTGAACTTAACAAATTGTGTTTAGGATAACGGATAACCCTATTTGGATTTACGAAAACGTTTACAAAAACTTAACTTTTTGCTGATCTTTAGCTGTTCAAGTTATGAGCCTAGTAACTGATTGAATAAATAAATTATGACTTTATAGCTGGTCACGCACAAATGAAAGGGTCTGTAAAATAAAAAAATAACTTGTCACTTAGTGACGTTAAAATTGGCGCGCAATTTATTAAAAAGTCCTAACAAAACCATTGAAAATCGGCTAAAAGCGTTACACTTTCTGAGTTCGTTGGTTCGAAATTGAAAGTTAGTGTTTAGTTATTCATTTTATAGTCTAAAAACCTGCGGAGCGAATAAATAAGGCATTTTAAAACCGTTGAATGTTTTCTAAAACATATTTTAATTTTTTTATATAAACTCCGGCGGTCTTAAAGAAGTCTACGCACCGAAGAGGTTTATTGACTGTGTTGTTTGTCACATCCTAAAGGTGAAGAAACAATGGGTCATGATTAGTTCCATATTTAAAATGATAGAATATCAGGTGAGCCATCTAATGACTTTTCCTTGCCTGTGGTGGGGGCTACTTGTATTGTTAGGTACTTGATACATTGTACTGTAGTGCGAGTAGACAGGTAAACAGCAAAGGTGTCTTAAAAAAGTAGACCAGTAAAACATTAGTAAAACATAATTAAGTAAGTTCCCTTTGATACTGGGCTTTATGACATTAATTTAAGGTTCTGGTATAATAAAAAAAAAACAATTTATTGTAATTTATGTACACAAATGTTTACAAATTAGTTCTACGTACTCATAAACACCGATAACATCCAAACAAATTGCGATTACATACTAAAATGCAGTAAAACTAAACGAGGCATAAAATAACGTTTAACTTCTATTTAAAAAAAATGTTTGTTTATTTTTTTTTTACTTTCTCGCGCCGCGACTGGGAAACCTTATTGGCAACCGCAGTCCGAAGCATAAGTCTTGCAAAACATTTACATAATGGCGTCCAATGGACCGTCACCTTAATCATTTGCCAATAACCCACCAAAACTATCGGTTGTTATCGAAACCATCTCAGAGCGAAGCAAAAACCATCAGAAACAGACACTCACTTTCACTAACTCACAATTATATTCTTCTTTTTTTCGCAGGCGTCAAAGCCGAGGAAGTGGTAGCATTCAGTGCATTCGGCTCAGAAAGTGTTGTGAATTAAAGTGAATGACTGCTAAACCAGTGATTGTTTTGTGATTAGTGCGAATATTTGTTTATTTAAGAAGACCACAGCAAAAATGGTGAGTTACATTTTTTTTACGATTAATCGATTGTAGGCTGTATGAGCGCGTGCCGTGCATTCGTTTCGAATAAAAAAAAGAATTTTGACATGTGTAATATTTGGCGCGCTTTTATGATTGTTGCGTAACTTTTTCGTAATTTGATTAACTCTGGTTATAAAAAAAGTTACAACGAAATTATTTGAGAAGGTAGGTTTACTGATCGACTTAAGCTCTTAAGAGTTGGTCGCTTTGTTCTTGTTTTAAGTTAATTAACGGCAATGAATTTATAAGTAAGTCAGTACCGTTGTACTTTTGATAACATTGTTTTAATTTCTAAGAGACGCTATAGTAACGGAGTGGAATAATAATAATTTTAATAAAGGTGTTTTATTGTATCTATATATCGATTTATTAATATCTTTATTACGTTTACTAGCTTTTACCCGCGGCTTCGCTCGCGTCACAAAAGGATAAAAAGCCAATGTGACATTTACGAATACACACAGCGCCATCTATACCAATACTTTTGTATTCCCTCGGGAATATCAAATTTTTCAGGGATAAAAAGTAGTTACGGCGTTAAAGTGAAACAAACAAACAAATAAAATCACTTGCCGATTTATAATATAAGTAAGGATTCTGATACAGGTATAGGTACATAGTACCTAATCGAATTTTAACAGACTTTTTTTAATTTATAATATAAGTAAGGATTCTGATACAGGTATAGGTACATAGTACCTAATCGAATTTTAACAGACTTTTTTTAATTGATAATGTTGAGAGAATATTTTTTTATACAAAGTCTTATGCGAGGAAAAATGCATTTAGGAAATTCAGTTTTATAAAATTGAGAGTAAATTATGTGATTAAGTCAAAATCTTTAAGTTATCAATTGGCTATTATATTTGTAGTTCATAATTATGAGAATTGCTTCTTACGGAACTCGAACCAGTAATAAGATATCCACATTCCATAGTTATTATATGGAAGTATGACTTGTTTTGCTAGTAGTAAAATTATAGCTTAGGTAATTACGGGTTTAGATAATTTCTTTCAAAATCAAGTAGGTAATATTATATTTAATTAAAAATGTATTAGGTAACCCTAAAATAAGAACTTAATAACTCTTATTTTTCAAAAAATAAATTTTTACTGGATGAGCTGGTAATCGAGCAGACGGATCACCTGATGGTAAGCCATCGGTGTCGCCCATGGACACCCGGAACACCAGAGGCGTTACAAGTGCGTCACCAGCCTTTTGAGATTAGGAATTTGAGGATTATTGGGGATATAGGGATTGAAGTACGTTCTGTGGTATCACTCCGGTCGAGTCGGCCCATTCGTGCCGAAGTGTAGGTCTCCCACACATAAAATTTTGTCACAATTTAATTCATTCTAACAGAAATTGTCACAATCTCATTTATACCGTTCACAGTACTTTCTTCAAAACATGTCGACTGACGCATCAATCACTCGCACATGACCTTTTGTCCTTCAAAATAAAACAACAGTCACTATAAAGCTTCCTAGTCACAAGTCCATATATTGGCAAAATGGCTCATTAATACAATATTTATCAAGACCACAATAGACACTTAAAACCGCCACTGAGACGCAATAGCGACCAGTAGGAAGACATAAGGATAAAATTAAGACACCATTTGTGATTGTTAATGTGAATTTATTATTTTATCCTGGTTTATATTTGATGATAATTAATGGTACAATGTTTTTGAGGAAGTGTATTCTTCCTCCTTTGAATTCCTTAGATGTCATTGTGTGCTTTTTTCCATAGACATGTAACATATCATATCAGTAGCTTTTTTTGTACGTAGATCACCAATCTAACCTAGTTCAAAGTTTGCAGTGCGGTGATAACAGTAAAATATAATTCATCTCCAATCGACTGCCTCGTTGGCCGAGTCAAGTGTGACTGCCGGACAAGGGGACTTGGTTTCGATTTCCGGGTCGGGCAAAGTATTACTGGACAAAGTCTCAGTAGTAGCACGGATTCTGGAAATGCCCGGTATATGGCAATAGGCTCACCCCCTATCATAACATAAATAGTAAAAAGTGGGTGTTATACAGTGGCATTTGTGCCGTAATCTGCACCTCTGACAACCCCTTCGGAGATAAAACGCGTGATGTTATGATTTTATCTCCAATTCTCCTCTTCCCATAGGTAACATATTACACTACGATAGGTTTTATTTCCGTGGCAACTGTACAATATAATTGATCGCCACCAACAATAACAACGGATCTCAATCAAAAATTTTTAGAAAAAAAAACAACTTTCATTCATTGATTAGACTTTATAATTTACGATAAATATTCCAATTGAGCACAAAATTCATGTTGAATAATCGTGTATTCCGGAAGAAAAACATTGTATTTTAATAATTTTACATATTTGTGCACCATTTGTTATGGTTTGACATTTATTCTTACAATATTACTCTCACAAACATGTTTATCATTGTTGTGAACTATTTATCTTCTTTTTGCTATTTTCTGCTTATGTTAGAGGACTTGACATGTCATTGTGATGGTTTTGGTGTTAAAACAATGTATTCACAAGTATTTTAGTATTTATTTTATCAAGTATTTATTTTCGTTGTGCATTCTCTATCGCTTATACCACGGGGAGTGCTCTGAGGAATTGTTCGACCTGATACCTACCGCATCTCTTCGCCATCGACCCTCACGACAGAATATACATCCCCATCCATATAGATGGTTGGCAGGCCACGACTGTGCTCTTCTCACGATGCTTTCTGCCTCGCACAGCAAAACTGTGGAATGATCTGTCGTCGGCGGTATTTCCGAACCGATACGACCTTCAAACCTTCAAGAAAAGAGCGTATTCATTTTTAAAAGGCCGGCAATGCACCTGTAACTCCTCTGGTGTTGCGGGTGTCCATGGGCGGCGCTGATCGCTTACCATCAGGTGATCCGTCTGCTCGTTTGCCTCCTATTCCATAAAAAAAATGTACAATATAGCATTATTATTTGTGTACATTTAAGCGTATGTAGAAAGGATGGATGAAAGTAGAGTAACAAAAGAAGTATACAGAGCGGATATGAATGGGGCCGTCGGTAGAGGGCGCCCAAGACGGACATATAGTGACCAGATTGGCGATATATTAAAGAATGATGACTGTTGATGAAGCGAAAGAAGTATGTAGGAATCGTAGTAATAGGCGTTTCCTAGTCTCTGCATACCTCTATGGGAGACAGGCATGAAGTTATGTATGTATGTACCTATATCAAGCGTATGATTTTTTCAGTGTAGGACGTAATCTCATGGGAGGCTATAACTCTTTTTATTGGGCCATAGTTTCTTAGGATTTCTTTGTAATTTCACTTTCAACATTACTTTTAAAGTTTATTTGTTTGGTAAGTTGTTTTATTCTTTGAAAAGGGTAACCAAAGAAGCGCCGCCATATTGTATAAATCGCTGCACATGAAGCTATCAAGGCTCTTTAATATAATTTCAACTTTATAACTCAATGCTACGATTGAAAATCTAATAAACCTGTGCAGATTTGAATCCTTATGTATTTAAACATTGAAAGATCTAATTACAAATCTTTGTTTTAAAGTTTGTGAATATAGTAAACGTTCATTCACAAAAACTATGAAATTACGAACAACGTAAGTTTGGTTCAAGAACATTATACCTATTACTTAAATATTGACTTCAATTTGTTAGAACGATTACTTGAATATGTGGGTTTTTGTAAGTAAACCTACGCAGCTAAACAGGCACTTACTTAATGACAATTTTAATAATTAATCTTTGAAGGTTAGTGGGCGCAAAAAGTTAATGGTTCTAAGCTAAACTTCGTGATTACAAAGGCTGAATTTGTAGGTCACTTGTATGAATTTTCTTACAATTTTTGGGCTCAAAGGACATCAATGTTTAAGTAGCTTCTATTTATTGCAATTAAATAAATACTTTTGAACCTTCAGATTATAAGATCTTGTTGGTGAAGTTAGGAAGAAACTATCTTGTTCTTATGAATTTTTAAGACAGTCATTGGCAAATGTCTAATGGCACATCGGTCTTTAATAATTTTGATTCCTAGACCTCTGTATAACGGAGTCGCGGAGAACCTAACGGGTTACCGGGGCTTCGGCTCGAAGTGCATGAGTAGGAACGGGGTGGTTTTTAGTCAGTAAGAGTCTGACACTCCCTCGCGCCTCACCCAGGCGGGAGCAGTGATTGGATGACTTTGCCCTCTTAGGTGAACCTAACGGGTTACCGGGGCTTCGGCTCGAAGGGCAAGAGTCTGATACTCCCTCCCGCCTCACCCAGGCGGGAGCAGTCATTGGATGACTCCCTTAAAAAAATATTTCATAAATATAGGTCATAAATTACTCAAGTGTACTTTATGTTACTTATTTATTTTGCAAAGAAACCGAGTTCGAATTTTAAACTAAATAGAATTAAGTACCTGATCTATAGTTTCCACTCGTTACAAGAAGTTTGTCTTGTCTCGTACTTTGTTCTATAGGTATTGTAGTACAATTGTGAACAGAAGGAATAAATATTCTGACAGTATTATCTACACTTATACATGAACATTTATTTTACTATAAAGTAGTACAAAATTAAATGAATTTCTGGTTAATTGTTACACAAAATCGTATAGGTACGTCTATATTTTTATCATTCTTCAATAAGAAGCAATTATGTTTTTATAATAACTATCTTGAGACATACTAAATTAACTAAAATCGCGTGTTGTTCACGTGAATATACTGCGAAAAGCTCTACTAGTTTCGAACCACAGAGGGTTCTTCCTTATGAGTAGGCTGCGCGACATCGCCACGACCGCGCACGCTGCTCATGAGGAAGAATGTATATTCACGTAAGTAACATGCGATTTTTAGTTAAGAAACATTTAAACATAATTTTAGATGTTTCTTCTACATTATTTTAAGTTTTGGGTTATCTACTATCACTGCCCGAATATTGAAAGGCTATACTTAATTTTTAGTTGTGCTGT